ATCAGAGGATGGTCACAGCACTGGACTGGCTGACATGGACGGGGGTGATGGCAGGCAGTGGCACTTGTCCAGCGGTGGAGGCAGCTCTCTAATGAGTTACAGGCTGGAGTGGGGCCAAGGGCCAGAGCTGCATGGGGTATGGAGGTAGCTGATAGAACACCGAGTTCCTGGGAGAGGGACGGGCAGCCCACAGAGGCTGCTCAGCTTATAGGAGCAGAAGAAATCAGGGCTGTGTGATGGGGAGGCCAAGGGCACTTGCTCCAATAAAAAGTCATGGCCGGGCTCAGAGGCTCGAGCCTGTAATCTCAGCACCTTGTGAGGTGAGGCAGGTGAATCACTTTGAGGTCAGGAGTTCAAGACCAACCTGCTCAACATAGTGAACCCCATTTTTACTAAAAATACAAAAATTAGCTGGGTGCGGTGGCTTGAGCCTGTAGTCTCAGCACTTTGGGAGGACAAGTCAGGTGGATCACGAGGTCAGAAGACTGAGACCATCCTGGCTAATACAGTGAAACTCCATCTCTACCAGAAATACAGAAAATTAGCCAGGAGTGGTGGCACGTGCCTGTAATCCCAGCTACTCCGGAGGCTGAGGCAGGAGAATCGCTTGAACCGAGGGGCAGTGGTTGCAGTGAGACAAGATTTCACCACTGCACTTTAGCCTGGGTGACACAGAGAGACTCAGAAATGAATAAATAAAAACAAAAAAAGTCATGGCTCTGCCCAGCTTCTAGAGCTGACTGGGTTTCCGACCCAAAGAACACTCACTAAAGAGAAGGCTGAGTCCGCCAGAGGAAGATGTGTGCAGCATCACGGCAAATCCACACCACGACGATTCTGCCGCTGACCTCGGTAACCGGCCACAGAGCAGGGGAAATACGCGCACATCTTGAGAAGTGCTGGACACGGTTTGGGCAATGCTGGCATTTGAAAGCCTGAAGCGTCCTCATGGCTCCCATGAGAGCGAGGGGCTGACAGGAAGGAGCCAGGTGAGCAGTGGAATTCCGGCGAGGTCTGATCCACCAGGCTGGGGTTTGCATTCGCCCAGAGGTCATTTCCCCTGTCGCAGGACAGACGGAGCAGGCATTCCTGATGGTAGACACCATTTCCTTGGCCGTCATAGTGGGTAAGTCCAGTGCAAATCTCTGCAGCCGTCCCCACTCAAAACAGTAAATCAAAACTGGGGGACATTAGGGACACATCTAAAGACCTAAAGGGTGCAAGGAACTCCTTTTCTCGTGAGACGGAGTCTCACTCTGTTGCCCAGTCTGGAGTGCAGTGGGGCAGTCCCGGCTCACTGCAGCCTCTGCCTCTGGGGTCCCAGCGATTTTCTTGCTGCAGCCTCCCGAGTAGCTGGAATTACAGGCACCTGCCACCAAGCCTAGCTAACGTTCTTATTTTAGTAGAGACGGGGTTTTGCCATCTTCCTGGTCTTGAACTGACCTCAGGTGACCCACCTACCTTGGCCTCCCAAAGTGCTGGGATTACAGTAGCATCAGCCACCACGCCTGGCCAAGGATGGCCTTTGAATCCACCAATCTGACCATTGCCACAGGCAAGTGGGTGGGTCCCAGAGGAGAGTGGACTGTTGCAAATAACCCATGTAGATATGGTGCCTTTGCTAGAGAGGGCTCTCCAGCCCCAGGTGTGCGGTGAGGCCACTGCTGGGCAAGCGTTCTCCTCCATCCCCCGTCTGGAAGGAAGATCCGACACACTCCCTTGGAATGCAAACAGGAAACATACCCAGTTCCTCCCCAGGGCTATGGTAACCTCCTGCCCTCTCACAATAAGACAGAGACCCACACCAGCTGAATGTCCCCAGAATGTCACACTGGCCCCCCCACCGATGGCTCTGCCCTGTGCTAATGAGACCAGATGAGCAAGACGTGGTGAGCACACTGGACCCTCCTGAGTGAGAGAATCCCCTCCAAAGCACAGGACAAATAAGTGGCTGCCCCTTGCAACCCCCGCGAAGACACAGAGCACCAGGAAGTCTTCTGGGAGCTGGAACAGCATGTTCCACATCTGGGACTCTGCTCCAAACCAATCCTGGGGGACATGAAAGGATGGCTCTGAACGGGCACAGCAGGAACAGCTCCACCGTGCGCCCAAGCCCAGCTCCAGCGTCCTTCCTGCTACATACGACCTGACTCTGCAGACTGCAGGTGCGGGCGGTAAAGGGGGCTTAAGGTCAAGTGCCCATGGAAGACCCTCCACACACGCAGTTTCAGAGAGGGCCATGCCAACCGCAGAAAGTCTCATCCTGCAGGGTCCCGTCCAGGGTCTGTTGCATTCCACCAAGGGGTGGGTTTCAAGCAAAGCCAGGGCAGGGGTGGGCTTGGTCAGGGGGCACTTCTAGAAGCTTCTAGCTTGATGTGCCCTGTGGGAATGGAAGCCACCTCCAGGACCCACGTATGCGCTGTATCCCCAAACCAAGCTGCTGGAGTCTGGGAACCAAGGTGGGGGCCGTTGCAGCCCTGCAGACCAGAGAGTGGGGCTCCCCAAGGGCTATGGCAGAGTCCCTGCCTGGGCCCAGAAGGACAGTGGAGGCCCACAGTTCACCCCAACCTCCCTCTTCCAAGTTCCGGTAGAAAGAGGCCCCGGCAGCGCCCAGGTGTGACGGGGCACGTGCCCCGGGCAGGGGCCCGGCCGGGCTGTCCCACAGCGCCACCTGCCGGCCGCGCGCGCGCCCGGGTTCCCGGCCCAAGCCCAGAGCCCCCCAGGGGTGGGAGCTCGCGCGGCCCCGCCGTCCACCTGCTGGGCCTAGGCAGGAGACGCCGTCCGAGGCGGGGTCCGCTGAGTCGGGCGGGAGCTGGCGGCGCCGCATGGGGAGAGGCAGGCCAGGGTTCCTCCAGGAGGCAGCGCGTCTGATCCCAGCCCCATCCCCGCCGGCTCCCCTCGAGCACCCAGGCAGGTGGGCCCCAGCCCCGCGGTCCCAAGGACTCTGCCTGCGCCCTCGCCCCGTCCCTGCCCGCGGGGTCGTCCCTCATACCCGCCCGACCGCCCCCACCAGCCCCCACCCTCCGTGTCCCACAGGGACCCCGCCTGGCCTGGCCCCGATCCTTAGCTAGGGACTCCCTCGTGTTCACTAGCGACAAAGTGGAGGCTGGGGTCGCCCCTGCTGCGCTCCCGGGGCGTCGCTGCGGTTCGGCGTCAGGGCGGAGGCTCAGGCGGGGGTCCTGATTCCAGCATGCAGAACCACGGGCCCACCTTCTACGCCCCAGGGAGGGGCATCCTTGCAGCTGGGAGGACTAGGCGCCTAGGAGTTCCTGCTGGAGGGGAGGACTGGGGTCCCAGACCCTGCCAAGTCCCACCTGAGATGGCTGCTCCACAGGGCTGAGCCGCACAGGGACGTGCCCGATGTGGGAGGCCCCTGTGCTGCCTCTGTCCGCCCTTGTGAGAAAGCACCAAGTGGCCCTGGGCTAGTCCCTGCTGGGCTCTTCCTCTCCCCTGGGGTGTCCTCCTCACTGGCTGCACCCTCTCCTCCTCACCCAGGCTCACTACCTCCCCAAGGCACCCCCCAGGGACAAGGCCTGTCCGTTGGGGCTTCCAGCTGGGGTCGCCTACTTCCCACCCACCTTTGGGAGTTCCACCCTCCACTGGAGACTCAGCTGGTATCCCCCTACTTCTTTCCATGGCTACCCCCTTGGCCTCACCGCCATGCTCTGACCCCACTTTCTGAGCCCCCAGAGGGCCCACCTCACCCCCTCCCCTCTGGCCTCTGCCCTTGGCCTACAGTCAGGACCCCATCTCTAGGTGGCCCCAATGGCACATGAAGCAGAGACTCCCTAAGAGGTCTCAAGTGGGCGAGAGCAGCGAGCTGTGCCCCCTGTAGGGATTTGGGGCACCCTGGCCTAGGGTTAGAGGGAGAAGGGGAGAGGCAGCAAGGCTGCTGAGTACAACGGACCCAGGAAGAGCCAGAGCTGAGACACAGGGCTAGGCACCACTCAGCCTGCCCAAGTGGGCTGTGACACCCCTTCCCGCCAAGAAGCACGGGACAGAGTCTTCCTGCAGGGGCTGTGTTCCCATTTCCAGGTGAGAGGGACCACCCGGAGCTAGGGAGCATGGGTGCAGTGAGGTAGGTTCATGGATACGGAACAGTGTGGACATGGGGGTTACTAGTGCCAGGGCAGTGCATGGCCTGGACCAGGGGGCCAGGGCAGGAGCAGGATGGACAGCCACCCACCCCCTGGGGACACTGGCACAGACAGGAGGGGAAGTGTGACTGAGGAGGAGTGGGTGGGAGAGACCAGGCCAAGTGGGACTTGGGAGCTATGAGGAGCCCAGGGAGGAGGCATGGCCCCTCAGAATGGAGCTCGCAGAGCCTGCAGCCTCTCACCCACAGCCAGCTTTCTTTTTGGAGTCTTCATTCCCAGGTGAGGAACGGGCAAGCCCTGGGGTTTGTAATTGGCTGTTCCTCCAGTGCGGACCCCAAAGATGCCTTTCCCCAACCTGAGGGTCCCTGTGTACATCCTTGGAATCAATGAAGGGGGCCCACAGGTTGGACCCCGGAAGCCCACCTGGTCACGACTTCAGGTTCTTTCCCGAGGCAGGGCCCCCACCTTCTCCCCCAAGTGCCACGTGATCCCTGTTCAGGGACAGCAGAGCCACCAGTCCAGGATGGGACCTGCTGTCCCTGCAGACCCCAGCAGCCCTGGCCACCTCCTGGCTCTGCAGGACAGGCACCGTCTCACGGGAAAGGTCCGTCCTGCCGAATGAGACAAATCACAGCCGTTCTCTTCCTACCTTCAGTGGTCAATTTTATTACAAACAACGGTATCAAAATAGACAAGTCTGTTTAAGAACAACCAAGAAATGCAGCTGTTTAAGGGCCAAGTGAGAACCCACCGCCGAGAGCAGGCAGCTCCACCACAGGCCTCGTTCCCACAGGACGTCCTCAATAACTTAAAGGGCAGGTCTGGCTTCTGGCTCGACGCGCACTACAGGTCTTCATGGACGGGCGGCTGTGTTGCGCTTTCTTCTGTGACGTCTGTCAGAAAACAAGCACAGTCGTCAGAGCTCAGCACCACGGCCCTGGGATGAGGCCTTTACCGGAACAGCAGGGGCACGTGCAGGGCCTGCCCGGCCAGTCCTGGCTCAAGGCCCCGGACACAGCGGCCTGTCCAAGGGCAGCTTGGAGACCCCGGGTTCCCCACAGGGGATGAGAGATGTGGCATGTGGCACTTCAGAGCTGCCACACTGCGTTGGCATGGAGGATGCGGAGTTGGGAGTGGCCAGGGGTTCCTTGCAGCCCTGCAAAAGAGCCTGAGCAACGGTGGGGGAAGGGGGCAAGAGAGGACCGAGGGTGGGGAGAGGGAGGGGCAAGAGGCAGGGCTGCCCCTGCCCCAGGCAGAGGGAATCGACGGGGTGGCAAGCAGCCTTGTCCTCTGGCCTATCTCTGCTGACGCCCCAGTTCTCCTGTTGTGGGATTTCTATTTACAACGATGCTTCTAGATGAGGAATTGCTTTTATGTGTCCTGCTCAGGAAACAGCTTCTGGAATCTGAGTCATGCCCTATTCATTCTGGAAAATTCTTGGCCAATATCTCGCTGAACACTGCTTCCTTCCCCTCTCTATGTTCTAGACTTCTATGAGGACTGCCATGGGCGACAGTCTGTGATTGCAACCGTGTTTGGAAACATGGCTTTTACAGATGGTCAAGCTGACATGAGGGCATTAGTGACGCGCGTCCTTATGAAGAGGGGAGGTTTGCAGATGTCCGCAGGGAGCCCATGTGAAGACATGGGAGCAGGTGGCGCCGCCCCCAGGCGAGGACAGAGGCGGAAACAAGCACCCCCGCCAGCCTCCCAAGGAAGCAGCCTGCTTGCATCTGGGCCTCTGACTTCTGGCTCCAGAGCTGTGAGAGGCACTTTTCTGGTGCTGGAGCCCCGAGTCCCTGGTTCTTGGTGAGGCAGCCCTGGGAAACAGGTATAGCTGGGGAACCCGCTTGCCCTCCACCCTTTCCTGCCTGTCCTTGTTTCCGTGGCGCCTTCCCCAGATGACTTTTCCAGCTCATCAGCTGCTCTTCCCCACGTCTGCTCCCCTGCTCATTGCCCACTGAGGTCTGAGCTCCAGAGACTCTCCCTTCCATCACCTTCACTTCCATTTGTGCTGTGAACCCCGGGGCTTCATCCTCAGGAAGCTGGTACCTCTGCACAAGTATGCGCCCACAGAGGTGCCACGCACCTGTCTCCCGGGAACCCCACTCTCACCATCCCAAGGCCACTGTCTGTGTGGATTTCAGACCAAGCAACCAGTCTCCATGCAAACCCCGTGCCCCGGGAGGGCAGGCTGTGGAGCGGGAGCCGCACCACTCACCAGCCTCGGCCGGCGGCACACAAGCATCTTCTGTTTCCTCGAAGCCGTCAGGACACACGCAGACGTAGCTCCCCGGAGTATTGTAGCAGTTTTCGTTTTTCCTCACACATGCTTTTTCTGCCAGTGAGCACTCATCTACGTCTAAAATTCAGACTTCATTTTAGTAATTACTTCACTTAGCAGATTCACAGCAGATGATGAAATCCATTCACATAAAGCACAGGGATGACAAATGTCACGTTAGAGAAGGGAGCAAAGGTCAGGAAAGGCTTCATGGGGCAGAAGTTCATGTGGCCACTGTGGAAAATGCAGAGAGACCTCCAGGGGAGGCCAGCAGCCCAGCATGCACCTAGGAAGCCACTTTTTCCCCCTGGGTTCCAGCCAAGCCCAGGCTCACCCAGGCAGGCCACAACCACAGCAGGCCTGGCCATGAGCTTCGGGGCATGTGCCACCCAGGAGCTGGAGGGAGAGCAGAGGCTCTGGACCTGGGGAACAAGGCCACCAGCAAGAGGCGAGTGCAGCAGCACCATCCATACCGGGGTCGGCCATGCAAAGCCCACCCCCGCACTCCCCACTGCTTGTGTGTCCCATGTGGCCCTCAGGGTGAGTGCACAGTAACCCTGGGGGAGTGGCATCTGCAGGATGCCACAGTAACCCTGGGCAGCACCTCCTGGGGCCATTCACATCGTGGTCCCCAGGGAATGTCCATCTGTGTCCAGGACATACCCCGTCACTGACCTGCACACTGTCCGAGCTCCCTCGCGTAGCCGGGGATACACTCTTTACAGTTCCCTGGGCCTTCCCCTGTGCAGCCCACGCAGCTGGAGTCACACTCTACAACAGGAAGCAGGTGTCAGACCCCCCACACATGCAAGGCATGCGGACACAGTGCTGGGGACAACAGGGAGCCGGTGTCAGACCTCAACACACGTGCAGGGCACCAGTACCAGGGAGGATCTGGGTTTTCTCCTCATTCATCGCTAAGTGACTTCATAATGACCTATCTCTCTCTCACAGCAAAAGCATAGACTTGCACCCTGCCGTGTGGCAGAAGCTCCCAGAAAGCCATGGCGTGGACCCCCTGGCTTGGAACCCTTTGGGGAGAAACTAGGTACCACAGAGGTTCTAGAAACAAAACCCACCACCAGCTCAGTGACATTAGTTTGTCAGCCTGCCCAGAGCTGACTAAAAACTCCGGCAGCCTCCCGCACGGCTTCCAGTGTGGTGGCGCTGAGGATCCCACTCCACTCGCAACCGTGGGAACTGCCCAGGGCTGTGCAGACACAGGGCAGAGGCAGCCTCCTCCCTGCTGCTGGGACTGGGGCACAACTCTTCTGGGTCACTATGGCTCTGAAGACACGTTCCCTTGACTGATGATTTGGAAACTAATCCAAAGAAAATACTAAGGAATGTGAAAAGCTTTACCTTCAAGTGTATTCACAGTTTTTGACAGCTGAAAAGTTGTTAGACGTAAACGTCTAGCAATAGACATTGTTTTAGAAAAGTATGAAATAGGTCCAGGCACGGTGGCTCATGCCTGTAATCCCAGTACTTTGGGAGGCTGAGGCGGGTGGATCACAAGGTCAGGAGATCAAGACTATCCTGGCCAACATGGTGAAACCCCATCTCTACTAAAAATACAAAAATCGCTGGGCGCAGTGCCTCACGCCTATAATCCCAGCACTTTGGGAGGCTGAGGTGGGTGGATCACCTGAGGTCAGGAGTTCAAGACCAGCCTGATCAATATGGTGAAACCCCATCTTTAAAAAAAAAAAAAAATACAAAAATCAGCTGGGCGTGATGGCACGCACCTATAGTCCCAGATACTCGGGAGGGTGAGGCAGGAGAATCGCTTGAACCAGGAATGAGGAGGTTGCAGTGAGCAAAGATTGCACCACTGCACTCCGGACTGGTGACAGAGGAAACTTGTCAAAAAAAAAAAAAAAAAAAAAAGTATGAAATAATGGCATGCTCCAAAATCATTAATGAGAAACCACAGGACATGCGGAAACGTTCACGATGTGTGGCTGAGCAGAAAACACCACTGCCAGGCGCTATGGAAAATCACCATCCGCGCACATTGGGGAAGCATTAGCAGGGCGGGCTCCATGGTATTCATGGGTTTTTAACTGTTTTTTTCCATCTTACTTGAATTTTCTGATTTTCCTGAAGTAAATATCTATGACACTAAGTGCTCTCAGAGCAAGCAGGATGTATAGAAGTAATACTAGGAAGTCATAAATGAACGTTTACAAAGGCAGCGATGACACCCAGTGGGGCCCGGAGTTCATGCCCACCCGCTTGCCTGGCCCACCTTCACACGTGTAGGAGCCGTTGACGTTCTTACAAAACTGTGCGGCGCTGCAGGGAGGTGTCTCAGCCACGCACTCATCCACATCTGGAACAAAGCAGCACAGCTGTGAGTGGCCCAGGATGGCCTGGCCAGGGAGCAGAGGAGGACCGATCACGGCCAGGGCCAGCTGGGGAAGGGCAGGGAGGAGGGCAGCCCCTGTGGGAATTATCTCAAATGCCATCCTCGGAGGCCCCAAATGGCAGGGGAGGGGCCGTGAGGATGGCGGTGCATCATGTGAGGATGAGAAGGTGAGCGCCTCACGCCTCAAGCCTCCACACCTCATGCCCCAACGTCCTTCCTATTCTCCCCAAGAGCTGTGAAACCTGCCAGGGGCTGAGCCCCGAACCTGCCTGAGGCCAAGAAGCTGCTGACAGGTAAAACCAAAACCCAGGCCCACAGAGGGAGGGGGCAGCCCAGCCTCCGCCTGCTCGCCCAGCACCTGGCCTGTGGGAAAGCCACAGTCAGTGCCAGCACCTTCCCGGGGAGCCAGAGCCCTTGGCTTCTCCAGGGCTCAGAGGCCCTGCAGGGCGGCTGGCTTTGTAAGTGCTGTGCCCACAGCCAGGCTGGAGGTAAGAGATGCAGCCGAGGCAGGTAGTGCCCACCATGCGGGGGATGGGGTGGGAGAAGCACAGCACAAAGCTGGGGAACACCCAGAACCTGGAGGCCTGTGTTAGGAGGCGACAGCCCCTCCTGGCTGAGCACTGCTAGGCATGAAGTCTGCTTGCCACAACTCTCGGACAGCAGGAGCTCGTGGGCAGTCCCTGCTACCCTGATGAGCATGCTGTCTGTGCGTGGCGGGGGAAGGCAGTTTCCGTCTCATGTGCTAGCAGCCTGGCCCTGCCCACCTACCTGCTCCCAGACCTGGCTGTGCCGCCGTGCCCTGCCCCTGCCTACATTCCCTGGGACCCACCAGCCTCCACCACCATGCGTGCAGCCAGGACCACCCCCGATACTTGTCATCTGTGCGTCCTCTGAAACCCACATGGGAGGACATAGTTGGCCCCCGCTAGAGGCTTCCCTCCCGGGAACACACTGGGTGAGTTCTCAGACACTGTTGGCCGACTCAGGGCAGCTGGCACCACAGCCCCACAGTCCCAGAGCCAGCCAACAGCAAGGACACTGTGGCCCCAAGGCCTGCCAGTCCAGAGTTTAGGCTGCAGAAGGTAGGAAGGAAGCCCCTCCGTCCTTCCTGACCCGTGCATGGTGGGATCACAGGTATGGGAGCCGAGGCGTCCACTCGAGGGTCCTTCCTGTGACCCAGAATGTGCAGAGATGGGAGGGCCGTGATGGGGAGCAGCTGGTGGGAGGGGGATGCAGAAGTTGGGCAGAAGTGGCCCTTGGGGAGGCACCACCCCCGGCCCTCCTCACCCACGCAGGCGCCCTCCTCCAGCACCCAGCCCACTTCGCACTCGCCGCAGTCTCTATTGGTTGGGCCCAAGCACGTCTTGCAGGACTCGTCGCAGGCTGGAAGGGAAAGGCGGGCCTGGGTCCCAACGCCATCTCAGGTGCCAGCGTGGGGACAAGGCTCACTGAGAAGTGAGAAATTGAAGGGGGAAAAGCAACATGAGGTTTTCAGTGCCCATGAATTTGAAATTCTCAGCAAACCAGAACTCCAAGGAATTTTTAACCACCTGGAGAAGGCGTACTCTGTCCATACCCTGGAGCTGTAGCGTGGCTGGGTGCGTGTGTTCCGGCCACGGATCCATGCGTGCCCCATGCCATGCCAATGTCCAAGAGACAGAGATGGTGAGGGGTATAAGAATTGGGGAGGCCGGTCCTGACTGGAGAGCCACAGGTCCATCTGCCCAGAATAGCCTAGGGGGCTGCTGAGCAACCATGCACTCACCTCTGGGACATCAGGACACCCAGAGTCTTCCTACATGTCAGTGGTAACCAGGGAGAAAACATCTTTTGGAAAGATGTTACTCATGCAGCCTGCAGGGATTTGTGAAAGGCAAGCCTGGCGGTCCTCACAGACGCTGCCCCCCGGGCCCTTGCAGGGTCCACACAGTACCTCCAGGACCTGTGCACAGCGTGGCCCATCACAGCTCAGGGTCAGGGGTGGACCTCGAGCTAGAGAGAAAAGTGAGTAGCTTCTCCCCTCTTGGGTGGTTACAGGCTGAGTTTGCTCTGCCTCTATCCTTTGACATTTTCATTCACCCTTCTCGGCCCCTTAAGCTTCCCTGGACATCTGGGGTTAAGAGATCAACAAGCCCCTGTTCCCATCTACACAGGCAGCTCCAGTCAAGGGCTGTTCTCATCCTGCCTCGGCCCGGGGACCGGCCCAGGCATAGCCCCTACCTGTGCAGAAGCTGTGGGTCTCGTTCCGGAGGGAGCTGAAGTAGCCATCCATGCAGTCAGCGCACAGCGGGCCCTGGTACCCCACGTGGCACCGGCAGGACCCGTCGCCCTGTCTGCTGCCATCTCCACTGCAGTGGCCATTCCCGCTGCAGGGCCTCTGGGACCCGCCCTGGCACTCTTTGGGGGACATAAAACCATGATCAGAGCCCACTTGGAGGTGACCAGTGGGGTGTTCTCACATGGAGAGAACAGACTGCACCCCTCAAAATGCACGGTCAAAGCCAAATCCTGCAGGATTCTGAGGATGGGCATAAGCCTGCAGGTTTGGGGTGTGGGTGTTCAGGGATACTGATTTCCTGGGGTCTGCAGGGCTGAAGGTGGATCGTTGAGTGGAGCAAACCACAGGCTCCCAGCCTTCACTAGTCACATGCTGCATGATGACATTTAGGTCAACAAGGGACCACACATGCCACCGCTGTCCCCAAGATGGCAAAAAGCTGAAAAGCTCCTACTGCCTAGTGACATCATAAGATACATTACCTGTTCTATACTTAGGTGTGTTCAGGTAACACATTCTTACCATCATGTCACAGTGGCCCACAGTACTCAGGACCCTCACATGCCATCCAGGTGTGCACCCTGGGAGCAGAAAGCCCTGCCCGGCAGCCTAGGTGCAGAGCAGGCAGCACCATCTAGGTTTGTGAAGGGCACTCTGTGATGTTTGTACAATGACAAAGTCATCTAATGACATATTTCTCAGAACACACCTGGTGGTTACGCGTGACTGCACTTTGTGGCTTTGGGCAGCCTCGGCTGAAACATGGTGATGAAGACACTTATGGTTAGGCGTGGGGACTGCAGGGAGAGTGGGAACATCAGCTGTGGCCCCCAGTACACGCCAGGGACAGCAGCAGGGGCCGACAGGAGGCCGACAGTGGGTGGGGGGGTCCTGAACCTGAAACTTCTGCTACCTGATCCAGCTCGATCATGCGATGAGCTTTTATCAGCAGTACACCGCGGCTTCAGTTTCAATACATACTTCTTCACAGAAGTGCCCTGTCCTGCATCACCCATTAGGGCTCAAGGCCATGTGCCCAGCCTGATAGACACCCTGCCCTGGGCTCTCTGCAGACAGGTCTTTGCCACTCTGTGGACAGGGCTGCAGTGGCAGCCACAGAAGCAGCTGTGTGGCCACCTCTGTACAGGCAGAGAGGTGAGAGTGGACTCACCTGCGAACCACCTGAGTCTGTGAACCTCTGAATCAAAAGCACAGCTGGGATAAGATACTCAGAGTTTCACAGCTCAAGCATGAGGTTAGTGGTGAGGCTGCAACTCCAAGCTATGTTGAGGGGTAGGGGAGGCAGTTGTCCAACAGAAAGCAGAAAGCTATAGACGCTACAGAAAACTGATGCACCCCAGGTCCCCTCTGCTTTTATCCCCAAGAATCACGAAAGGAAGAAGGGAAGTGATACAGGAGATGGGATCTCCCTAAGAAGAAACGCACCAAGACAGTCGGGGCCATAGGTTCCTGGAAGGCAGCACACTTTCAGTGTTTTCACACAAAACCATTCGAATAAGTCAGGATACTCATTCTTCCTAAAGATTTAAGAAAACACTCATCACTGAATCCCACCAGACACATTTCTTTAAAACAAAAATGCAGTGGAATGTAATATATGCTCTAGAGTATTGTAAGATCCAGGAAACAAGAGTCTAGGTGTGCACAGAATCTTCTCATTCATTCCCCAGTTTTGATTGCCGGCTCTGGTGACAAGAATAGGTAACCCAGGAGTAAGGTGGGTGCCAGGCAGGTGGGAGCTCCATACCGTTCCTACACCTTTCTAAGCCTGAGGTAATTGCAAAGTATAAGTTGGAAAATAAAAAGCATCTTCTAAGAGGTTTCAACGGCACTCACAGCTGGAGCCACCAGGCCTCCAGGTGCTCCTCCTGCGCCTCCAGCATCTGGTTGCACTCGAAGTCACTGCCCTCACACAGCCCCTCCAGGATCTCCAGCAGGCGAATCTCGCTGAAACACAGGCCCACACGGCCCATGGTCAGCACTGCAAGGCAGTGAAGAAGGAGCCGAACCAATGCACCAACCTGGGTGCAGGGGGCCGGGGGGACGGGACTCCAGAGAGGGGAAGAGGACCCCACTGTCAGGGGAAGCCAGGAGTGGTTCACACAAGTGGGGCTGCTGTTCCATTTCACACTGTTGAGTGGGTACCAGCTATAGGGCCCAGAGCAGCAGCTGGAAGGCCAGAGAGGAGCCAACCGTTAGTCCTTAGGCTGCAGCCGCAGCGACTCAGGTGACTGGTGCCTCGGGGGCTGTTCTGTGTCCCTGTCATTAACACAGGCACCAAAGGCAGGTCACAGCTTCCCAGGACAAGGCCAGGCAGAGACCCACGGGGTGCTCCGGAGCACCCACCTGAACTCATACTTGGACAGCGTCTTTTCCTCCCAAGCCGTGTTCCCGCCGCCAAAGTTCTTCTTTGCGGTGTCCACCATCCCCTGCAATGAGATGGTGCCCACAGAGCTTGGTACCACCTGACCCCGGGCCCAGAGTGAGGGGACCCAGGTCTATAGTGGGGTCGACTCCGGGCCCACGGTGGGGACGGATCCCGAGTTCAGGGTGAGGGGGACTCCAGGACCACGGTGGGACGACTCTTGATCGAGGGTGAGGGGAATCCCGGGTCCACCGCGGGGGCGACCCCGGATCCAGGGTGACGGGGACCCAGGGTCCACGGTGGACGACCCGCCGGCCCCTGCTCACCTGGTTAAACTTGTCCACCAGCCCCCGGCACCGCTGGCAGGGCGTCGGCTTGTTGGCGGCCTCCGGCGCTGGCGGCAGTAGCAGCAGCAGCAGAAGCGGTAGGAGGCCCAGCGCAGCCCGGCGCGGCGGGGGCATCGCGGGCAGCGCCGCGGGAAGACGCAGCCAGTGCTCCAGGTGCTGCACCGCGCGGCTCCGGCCTTTCGGCCGCCCACCCGCTCCGAGCCGCGCCGGCAGTTCCCCGGGCTACTTGACGGCGCCGGCGAGGCCCCGCCCCTCCCGCCAGGCCCGCTTCTCTATTGGTCTGTGGGACCCGCCCCGACCTGATGTGGCCCAATCCGAGCTCGCCACGAGAAGCTACCAATGGGAAGGCCCCGGGTCAGCGTCCGCCGGGAGGCCAGGGGCGGGCATGCCGGTCCGACCCCGCCCCCTTCCCCGCCCCCTGCCCCCGCCCCTCGCGCGCAGCTCGCGGCGGCCATCTTTATTCCGGTCATGTAGGGTTCCTGCGGCCACAGCGGCCGGGGCTGTGGTGGCCAAGTTAAATTCGGGCAAGGGCTTCGCTCTGTTCTCTTTTCGCCGTCCCGCTTCCTGCCGAGGCCGCGCTCCCAAGGACGCCGCCGGGAGCTGCGGAGGTCAGTGCGCGCTGCTGCTGCCGGGGCCCTCAGGCGGGCGCGCGGCGACACCAGGGAGGAGGCGGGAGAGGGCGCGACCCCGGCTGGCCCTGGCGCTGGATTCCTGAGGCCTCACCGCGCATGTCCACGCGTCACAGCCGCTGTGCTCTTCACTTGGGGACCGGACCCCTCACCTGAGGGCCGGACCCCTCACCTAGGCCCAGGCTCCTCACCTGGGGACCGGACCCCTCACCTGAGGGCCGGACCTCTCACCTGAGGTCTGGACCTTTCACCTAGGGTCTGGACCCTTCACCTGGGGGCTGGACCTCTCACCTAGGGTCTGGACCCTTCACCTGGGGTCTGGACCTCTCACCTAGGGTCTGGACCCTTCACCTGGGGTCTGGACCTCTCACCTAGGGTCTGGACCCTTCACCTGGGGTCTGGACCTCTCACCTAGGGTCTGGACTCTTCACCTGGGGACCGGACCTCTCACCTAGGGTCTGGACCCTTCACCTGGGGCCTGGACCCCTCACCTAGGGTCTGGACCCTTCACCTGGGGTCTGGACCTCTCACCTAGGGTCTGGACCCTTCACCTGGGGACCGGACCTCTCACCTAGGGTCTGGACCCTTCACCTGGGGTCTGGACCTCTCACCTAGGGTCTGGACCCTTCACCTGGGGACCGGACCTCTCACCTAGGGTCTGGACTCTTCACCTGGGGACCGGACCTCTCACCTAGGGTCTGGACCCTTCACCTGGGGCCTGGACCCCTCACCTAGGGTCTGGACCCTTCACCTGGGGTCTGGACCTCTCACCTAGGGTCTGGACCCTTCACCTGGGGTCTGGACCTCTCACCTAGGGTCTGGACCCTTCACCTGGGGACCGGACCTCTCACCTAGGGTCTGGACCCTTCACCTGGGGCCTGGACCTCTCACCTAGGGTCTGGACTCTTCACCTGGGGGCCGGACCCCTCACCTAGGGTCTGGACCCTTCACCTGGGGGCTGGACCCCTCACCTAGGGTCTGGACCCTTCACCTGGGGGCTGGACCTCTCACCTGGGAGCTAGACTCCCACCTGGGGCTGGTCACCTCACGTGGGGAATGGGGTTTTCACCTGGGGGCTGGACCTTCCACCTCGGGATGGGGGTCTGCATTTCTACAGGCGCTTGAGGTGATGGACACTCGCTAATGTTCAGGAATCTCTGGTTTCAATTAGGGGTAATAAAATGTGCAGCGTCTGGATTTCAGAGAATTCCTGCCTGTGGAAGGAAGGAGCGCAGATAACTCGGTTTTCTCTGGCCCTTGGTGGGCCGCAGGTGTGATTTCGGTCAGATCATTTGTGTTTCCTGCCGAGGCTAATTATTGTTATTAATAACAGTCACATCTGATTTGACCAGTTTGAGATGGAGTCTTGCTCTCTTGCCCAAGCTGGAGTGCAGTGGTGTGATCTTGGCTTGCTGAAACCTCTCCCTCCTGGGTTCCAGTGGTTCTTCTGCCTTGGCCTCCTAAGTAGCTGGGATTACAGGCACCGGCCACCACCCTGGCTAATTGTTATATTTTTAGTAGAGCCACCACACCTGATCTAATTTGACCAATTTCATTAGAGCCCTTAAAATCTGAACTGATGGCCGGGCGCAGTGGCTCACGCCTGTAATTCCAACAATTTGAGAGGCCGAGGCAGGTGGATCACGAGGTCAAGAGAGCGAGACCGTCCTGGCCAACATGGTGAAACCCTGTATCTGCTAAAAATACAAAAAATTAGCTGGGCGTGGTGTCAGGCGCCTGTAGTCCCAGCTACTCGGGAGGCTGAGGCAGGAGAATTGCTTGAACCTGGGAGACGGAGCTTGCAGTGAGCCGAGATTTTGCCACTGCACTCCAGCCTGGCACCTGGCAACGGAGTGAGACTGTCTCAAAAAAAATAAATAAATAAATAAAATCTGAACTGATGGGGACGAGAGGGACTTTGCAGGTCATTCCTTAATCTGAGAGGCTATTGTTTGTAAACCACAGTTTAAAAGCGTCATGGCCTGGGCCTGTTTTAACCTGTGGGTACTTCCAAGGCATCCTTTATTTAGATTAGCCGCAGCCACTGACCAGAGCACAGGACAGCATCCACTCACCCTCGCCCAGTGGGAACTTAGTCGCGGTTTTTGCACTTGCCGGTGTTGACTTGGTCTTCCTGTGCTCCTGGCAGAGCATCCAGACTGACCCTTGGTCTTCTCATGCCTTTGAAAGTGAGCTGCACTGGTTGTCAGCAGAAAGCACACCTGTGTCGGGTCTGAGGAGGTGCTTGGGGGCCTGCCAGGAGGGTCAGAGTCCGCACATAATGTTTTCGTCCCACAGCTGAACTTTTCTTTGCTGGGGAAATCCTCTGGGTGGAGGCGTGGAGTGGGGTGGCAAGGACTGCCCGTGTCAGGGGTTCCCGCGAAGCAGCACTTGCTGAGTCCACCAATCAAGCCTGTCCAGGAGGGGAGATGGCAGAGAGGCACCCTTCAGACCACAGTGGCCAGTCTCTGTCCTTGGTGCTGAGGCTGCACTGGTCAGGGGAAAAGAAATCCAACAGAAAATCCCCCACCCTCAAAAACTTGTGTCTTAGCAAGTGGGAGACAGTTGAGTAGCCCCTCCCTCACCTGGTGGACAGTGGTTCCTCACCTAGTCTTTCCATATTTTTGTTTGATACCAAGTTTAATTTTTAAAATTATTTATTGTTTATTTATTTTTGAGATGGAGTTGGGCTCTGTGGCCCAAACTGGATTTCAGTGGCACGATCTCAGCTCATTGCAGCCTTTGTCCCCTGGGGTCAACGGATTCTCCTGCCTTAGCTTCCTAAGTAGCTGGGTTACAGGTGTGTGCCACCACACCCGTCTATTTTTTGTATTTTTAGCAGAGATAGTAGTATTACTATGTTGGCCAGGCTGGTCTCCAACTCCTGACCTCTGGTGTTCCACCCCACCTCAGCTTCCCAAAGTGCTAGGATGACAGGCGTGAGCCACTGTACCCAGCCTCAGGTTTTTATATTTGGCAAAGGAAAGAAAGGTCTATGCTATTTCTAACAAGAACTGCGTACCATTTTAGTCATTGTAAAATTATTAAAGCTTTCTTTCTTTTTTCTCTTTACCCCCACCCCCACCATATCATTAGGATTCCTCTTCCTTCTCATCTACAGGTTTTTTTTTCGCTTGCTATCTTTGTATAGTAGACTTCTTAACTCTCTGATCAGAATGTAGTTTTGACTGAGCACAGTGGCTCACGCCTGAAATCCCAGTACTTCAGGAGGCTGAGGTGGGAAGATTGCTTGAAGCCAGGAATTCCATACCAGTCTGGTGACTAAGCAAGACCCCATCTTTACAAAAAAATAAGAGAACTTAGCTGAGTGTGGTGACACACACCTGTGTCCCCGGCTACTCAGGAGGCTGGGGCAAAAGGATCCCAGGAGTTTGAGGCTCCAGGGAGCCATAATCACGCCACTGCACTCCAGCTTGAGTGGCAGAGTAAGACACTGTCTCTTAAAGTTTTTTTTTTTTTTTTGAGTAATTGTAACAAAGGGAAAGCCTGGGGTTCTCTCTCCCTTTGCTTCTGGCCCTTCTGGTTTGGATTGAATAAAATCAAACCTGTTTTAAAAGAAGCCAGAAGCGTGAAGAACTTGCCACCTTCCCTCCCTCGGCATCCCACTTGTAGCAGCCGGACACGTTGATGGTTTCTCAGGAAGCTCCATGCCATGGGCCCCCTGAGGTTGGCCTGTTAGTGTTTGGGGGACCCATTGCCAGTCTCCCCAGGGCACATATGCAGGCTCACGGCCAGTGTGGCACCACCTTTGGGAAAGCCGGTCATGGCTTCTCCCAGCCCCCAGCGTGGGGTTCTGTTCAGGCATCCACAACCCCACTCCACCATTCCTGGGAGTGGGGGCTTTGCTGGCCACCTGAGCCCTGCATCCTGGCAGCTGTGCTGTGTACGGCCCCCTGCCCTCTTGGGGCCCCTGTCTGCCAACCCTCTTGCTTTGTGCCTCCTACCCAGCTTACCAGCCCCCCTCAGCCTTCATTCCCTCTTCTCAGCTGGTTCCCTTGGGGCTGAGCCTGGGTTTTGCTGACTTTCCTGCCAGATTTAGACTGGGGGGCAGGGGCATTTACACCCTCCATTGACCTTATGGCCCAGGCCTGGTCACTCAGCATTCTATGACCGAGCCCTTCTCTCCAGGAAAACATTCACAGAACTGGCAGTGCACAATCACTGGTTACACTATGAAAGCTTCCCAAGTGCGATTTGTAGTAGTGCGACTAAGACAGAATTCTTGCTAACCTTTTACCCAGACCTCCCAACCATGAGCACAAGCATGGCTTTTGGAACTGGGAATCTGTGTTTTCACTCTTTCAGCACACTTGGAGTGGCAGTGCTGACAGCTGCTGTCTCGCACCCTTGATTCTGTGAAGGTGCATGAAGTTGTAAGCCCCAAATGGCTGGAAAGAGGTCATCAGGCAGGCGGCCCCTGCTGCTGGGGCTGCTGTTGGCCATAGCCGCTATCCATCTGGTCACCTGTCCCTACACCAAAGTAGAGGAGAGCTTCGCCCTGCAGGCCACGCATGACCTGCTCTACTACCGGCAGGCCCTGGGGCAGGTGAGGCCCTGCTATCTTTGGGGAAAACCTCCTGTTTCCAGCTTGCCAGGGCCCTGTGCGCTGACCTGCCCTTCTCCTCACAGTACGACCATCTCGAGTTCCCTGGGGTCGTCCCCAGGACCTTCCTCGGTCCAGTGGTGATTGCCATGTTGTCCAGTCCTGCAGTTTACGTGCTTTCGCTGTTGGAGACGTCCAAGTTTTACTCTCAGCTAATAGGTAAGGGGGTCTTCAGTGAAAGAGGAGGGAGTAAAGGATTGTGGTGTCACTGGGTGACCTCACTGAGGCTGCGGCTCCTCCGTTCAGGAACGCTATCTGTTACAGTCTTGCCTGCTCTTGGTCACCGTGGCATGGTGGCTCAGAGCAGGTGTCCAGGTCAGGCCTGGGGACAACTCAGCCAGCCCCTCCGTGCTTCCACACTCTTGACTGTGAAATTAGGGATGACAGCACCCACTCCCCAGGGCAGGTACAGGAGAAGCACCATCTGCTTGTGAGGCAGCTCTCATCACCTGAGCCGCAGCTCCCACCTCACCTTGTGTGCCCCTGTGGGGTAGACAGCCTTTAGTCCTACAGAAACAGCATCATTAGCCTTGGGGAACATTACAAAGAGAAGCCTCACATTCCTAGAGGCTGCCACTGCAGGGCCTGTGTGCACATCCTCCATCTTTCTGTGCCCACATGAGGACTTAAAAAATTAGAACATTTTGTACATATTGTTCAACAAATGGATTTTTTTTTATTTGTTTTTTTGAGACAAGGCCTTGCTCTGTTACCTAGGCTGGAGTGCAGTGGTGCAGTCATAGCTTACCGCAGCTTTGAGCTCCTGGGCGCAGGTGATTCTTCCACCTCAGCCTCCCACGGTGCTGGGATTCCAGGTGTGAGCCACCATGCTCAGTCACACAACCTGAGTTTTTAAAGTCAGCAGTCACCACCTTTTCGTTTCAGTACATTTTTATTGCATTTAATACGCAGACTGTAGTTAGATTTCCCCAGCTGACTCGAACACATGCTTCCAGCGGGTCCACCTAGCCTGCCTGGAGAACTTAGGACACATGCATGCTCCTGGGAAGGAGCATTTCCTCTTCCTGAAGAGGCATGTTGGGAGTGGAAACCCACCACAGCACGGGGACAGCTGGACAAGCTGTGCTCATCCTATGGAGGCGTTGGGGAGCCCCAGATGGGGAGGAGATGGGGGGCCATGGGCCAGGGAAATAAAGTCCACAGCCCAGTCTGGGGCTGGGTCCACTTTCCCCTGGAAGCTTCTGCTTATTCCAGGGGCAGCAGTGAGAGGCTGGGAGTTTGGGCAGAGCTATGCATACTCTGGTTGGACAGAACCTCAGAGGACTGCAGCTTCAGCTGGTGGATGGGAGCCCACCCTGTGTCCTTCCTGATCTCACTAAGATGTCCTGGAATTGCTAGTGTCCCCCAGCCCCTGCCATAGGCCCAAATATTTCCTCTGTGGACAAAGAGCCTGTCATCCTGGGGCTGAGGCTGTCTGCATGGCTTCACAGACCATCCTTGCTGGGCACTGGGTTGAGGTCATCGGACATTTGGGAAGATGTAAAACCAAGAGAAGAGATACAGGGGATGGACCTGATGGGAAAAGGGGGAAGCGGGGGCTTTGCCGGGGTCTGTGAATTATTTAAAGCCCCGGGGGAATTCCAGCACCAAAAATAACAGCAGCTGGAGCCAGACCCACTCATGGGTGTCCAGTGAAAAATATCCTTTTACACATTCAGCCTGGGCATGGTGGCTCACGCCTATAATTCCAGCACTTTGGGAGGCTGAGGCAGTTGGATCACCTGAGGTCAAGAGTTTAAAACCACCCTGGCCAACATGGTGAAACCTCATCTCTACTAAAAATACAAAAATTAGCTGGGCATGGTGGTGTACACCTGTAATCCCAGCTACTTGGGAGGCTGAAGCAGGAGAATTGCTTGAACCTGGGAGGTGGGAAGTTGTAGTGAGCCAAGATCGCGACACTGCACTCCAGGCTGGGCGACAGAGGGAAATTCTTCCTTAAAAAAAAAAAAAAATGCAGTTCGAATTCAGCGATTAGTGAAAAGAAAATGCCTGGTGTGCACACAGGCTGTTGTGGGAACAGCAGGCCCAGCACTGACACATCTGTGGCCCCCTGGGTTGTCACCTGGGTGTCTCTGCCTGTTGGCCCCCACAACTGCTGGACCCAGTTGCCTCTTGAGTGGGCTTTGAAGCCCCTCTGGCCTTCTGGAAAGGTGGTGAGAACATCCCAGAAGTTCATTTTCCTTCCTGTTTTCAGCCTCTCTTGCCAGCGACTGACAGGCCGGTCCACGGTGAAGATGTGTGGTCGGCCAGGTACTGTCCTGGGCACACCTGTCTGTCCCCTCATCATCACCTCTTAAGACCACCAGCCCAGAGGTGGCCCCCATCATTAAATGAGGAGGAGGCTCCTGACCCCCTTCCTGCGGGGGAGCCTGTGTTCCCGCCTCCTCACGGCTGCTGGTCAGAGCAAGGTGTGAGCCTGGCCCTCACAAACATTGCCCCTAGAGGTGTCAGCCCCAAGGAAATCTCTAGTCTAGTGCACGTCTCAGCTCATGGCACCCCCGGGCACTGTGTCCCCCATGACACTTCAGAGAGCAGCCCCCCAAGAGCCCTTGTGGCACCAGGCTTGGGCATCACAGTTCCTGACAGGAGCGCAGGGGGCCTGAGGCCAGATGTCTGTTTTCCACACACAGACAATGACCTCAGGTTGCTTTGCCTGACTTGGCTGTCACCTGGCATTGTAGCAGCATAGAAGGATCCATGTAGAGAGCCACGTAGAAAGAGCCACATAGAAGGAACCCTGTAGATCCACATAGAAGGATCCACAGATGCTCTGCACAGGCTCACATGCTGTCGCTGTCTTTATTTAGTTAGAGGAGTGCTTGGACTTGGTGTGATTTTTGGACTCTGGACATTACAAAAGGAAGTGAGACGGCAGTTTGGGGCCGTGGTAGCCACCATGTTCTGCTGGGTGACGGCCTTGCAGTTCCACCTGATGTTCTACTGCACACGGACACTGCCCAACGTGCTGGTCCTGCCCGTGGGTACGTAGCTGCTGGCCAGGCCCGCGCACCCCTGCTGCTGGCTGGGAGGTCTCCTGAGTTGGGGGCTGTGCGGCCTATGGCAGTGCCTCCCCAGTGATGGCCACTCCCCATTGAGTTCCTCAGGACTCAGGACGGTCTGTGACCTGAAACTGGGCTGTTTTCCATGCTGGCTTGGGATGCACTTCCTAGCCGACAGTAGTTGGGGGTGTGGCTCTGAGCAATTTGTTTTATGGGATATCTATGTGGCTTTTGTAATAAGAAAAGGAATCATCCTTCACTTCCTTGGGTGTTTCCTGGGTGGGGGTGGGGGTGAGGGTGGGGCGTGTCTGACGAGCACCTTCCTGCACTGTCTTGCAGTCCTGCTGGCCCTCTCAGCCTGGCTGGGGCATGAGTGGGCCCGCTTCATCTGGCTGTCGGCCTTCGCCATCATCGTGTTCAGGGCAGAGCTGTGCCTGTTCATGGGCCTCCTGCTGCTGCTGGCTTTGGGCAGCCGAAAGGTTTCTGTGGTCAGAGCCTTTCGCCACGCCATCCCAGCGGGGGTCCTCTGTTTAGGTAAGTCTGTTGCTGTGGGATGCTTCTAACTGGATTTTGTACTGCCTTGTTTTATAAAGGTCAGAGAAATTTGGGAGGTTTTCTTCCCCATGGAATAAAATTGCCCTACCTTTAGTAGCGTTAAAACATCTCGGTCCTAAGCCCCCTGCGCCTTGGGAGCCCCTATTCACTGGTCTGTCGCTTGTCCTTGGCCAAGGCCAGGGGAGGCCACCGGAGCGGAGGGTGGCTTGTCCCTGCACCAGGCCAAGGTGGTGGTTCAGGGCAGCCTCGTCCTCAACACAGTTGGCATCTTTCTTCTTTTTTTCTTTGCTTTAGAGATAGAGTCTTGCTCTGTCACCCAGGATGGAGTGCAGTGGCGTGATCACAGCCCATTTCAACCTTGAACTCCTAGGCTCCGGCAATCTTCCCACCCAGCCCAACCTCTCTTATGTGAAAGCAGCTTGTAGCTTCTGTAGTGATGGTGGCCGCACCGTGGCAGGGTGTTTAATGATGGTTGTGTTCTTGACTGAGAAACTCTCTTTAATTTTATCAGGGCTGACAGTCGCTGTGGACTCTTATTTTTGGCGGCAGCTCACGTGGCCAGAAGGAAAAGTGCTTTGGTACAACACCGTCCTGAACAAAAGCTCCAACTGGGGGGTATCCTTCAGTGTCCATGCAGGGGGGCGATGAGTGGGACCCCCAGACACACTTCCTGGGCCTCCTTGGGGGTATCCTTCAGTGTCCATGCAGGGGGGTGATGAGTGGGACCCCCAGACACACCTCCTGGGCCTCCTTGAGGGTATCCTTCAGTGTCCGTGCGGGGCGGGTGATGGGTGGGACACATAGCCACACCTCCTGGGATTCCTTGGGTGGTGGGAGCAGCGGCTTCTTCCTGCTCTGCGGCCCAGCGGCAGGGTCAGGACAGAGCCCCTCTCTCTCACTTGCTCCTAGGAAATGCTGGTCGTAGGGGGTGAGGTCCCGGCTGCCCTCTCTGTCTTGTGGAAACAGCCCCACCCAATTGCCCCAGCCTCTTCTCTGTTCCTCGGAAAATCTGTTTTTTGTTTTTGTTTTTGTTTTGAGATGAAGTCTCGCTCTGTCACCCAGGCTGGTGTGCAATGGCATGATCTCGGCTCACTGCATCCTCCGCCTCCTGGGTTCAAGTGATTCTCCTGCCTTAGTCTCAAGAGTAACTGTGGGATTACAGGCATCCACCACCATGCCCAGCTAATTTTTGTATTTTTAGTAGAGGTGGGGTTTCACCATGTTGGTCAAACTGATCTCGAACTCCTGACCTTAGGTGATCTGTCCACCTTGGCCTCCCAAAGTGCTGGGATTATAGGCATGAGCCACTGTGCTGACCTGGACAATCTGCATTTAAAATGCACTTTCTTAGGAAGTATTTCAAACATACACTAGTAGATAAAGCATCATAATGAATCCCCCACACGTGCATCACTCGTGACCGTCTGTTTCTACCAGTGCAGGAAAGGCGGCAGAGACCAAATCACCTGCAGCCTTGGTCCTTCCCGGAGGGGCCCAGGGCCCTAGTTGTGTCTGTGCACCTGAGCCGCGGCCTGGGCTGTGTCTCTTAGGAGGGGCCCGGGGCCTGGGGCCTGAGTGGTGTCTGTGCACCCGAGCCGTGGCCTGGGCTGTGTCTCTGCCCCCCTGCTGTGCCCGGGCTGCATCCCTTAGCACAGCTGTCTTCCAGGCATCTTCTCCGCCTTGACCCTGCCACCCAGCCCATGGGCGCATGTGTAGACAGTTGTGTGGGCAGGTGCATGGCCTCCTTAACCCAGCCCACAGACCTCCCCGCTGCTGTGGTACTTCTACTCAGCCCTGCCTCGCGGCCTGGGCTGCAGCCTGCTCTTCGTCCCACTGGGATTGATGGACAGAAGGATGCACGCGTTGACAGTGGGGGCTCTCGGCTTTGTGGCAGTGTACTCCCTCCTGCCTCACAAGGAGCTGCGCTTCATCATCTACGCCTTCCCCGCACTCAACGTCACGGCCGCCAGAGGCTGCTCCTACCTGTGAGTGCCTTTTGTGATGTGCGTTTTTATAGTTTCATTGGAAACAGGTTCACTGAGTTACAGTGAGGGTTTGTGTGTGTGTGTTTAATTTTTGAGACGGGTCTTGCTCTGTTGCCCAGGCTGGAGTGCGGCAGTACAATCATAGCTTACTGCAGCCCCCAACTCCTGGGGGTCAAGCCATCTCCTGCCTCCACCTCTCCAAGTGCTGGGATTACAGGTGTGAGCCACTGGGGCTGTCTTTTAAGATAAACACAGGACATGTTTAGCCACTTGTGTCAGAAGAGAGTGGCCCCAGTCCTCTCTCTGCCCTGAGGAGTGTGGGCTGGGACCAGCCTGGTGACCTGCTGTCAGAGGGATCTGCCTGGGTGGTCTCTGTCTTTGATTAATTTGGTGACTGGTCCACATGTGGTGATGTACTGGTGGTCCCAGTCTCTGTCACGGGGGAGGGACACTCACACCAGTAGCAGCAGCAGAGGGCAGGGGCGGTCAGGCCTGGGAGGCTCTGAGGGCAACAGGTCAGGTGGAGGAAGGACGTTCATGGCCGTCCTGACAGGGTCTCAGGATTGAGGGCGTTTGTCAAGGCAGGTCATGTGGCTGGAAGAGGGGGAGATCAGGGAGGTGCCCATGGCTGGGTGCAGAGGGCCCAGAGTGGCCCAGACCTGGGGTCCTGTGGAGGGCAGGGGGCTTCCTATGGGGAGGGACCACCAGTAGCAGTGATGGAGGTGAAGCTGGGAGCCTGGCAGGGCATGGGGAGGGCGTTGCCTGTGCTGAGGGTGAGGTAGTCCCAGCGTGGCTGCCACTCAGTGTCAGGAGCTTCAGGGAGCCGGGAACGTCCATCACTGCCAGGTCCTATGGGTGCTGGGGAAGGGTCCAGGGCTGAGTCTGGCCAGCTCTGTGCCCGTTCAGAGCTCGCTGCCTTCGTAGGAACAGGAGGTCAGCTCAGGCCATGCTGGGCACTGAGGGGGAGGGCTGCGGGCCAGGGGGACTGGGGCCTGAGGTGCAGAGAGGTGCCCACCCTGGCTGGAGAGGAAGTCCCTGATCCCAGGCAGCAGTCAGGTGCTTTCCCGTGACACCTGTTACAGGGGAGAGGATGGAATCCCCCCAGCTCCCACCGCCCCGCACTGCCCTCAGGCCTAGGGACTCTTCCAGCTACCGTGGCCATGCCTAGGTTGAGGGGCTCCTCTTGCTGCTATGGCCATGCTTCTGTGGGGGCTCCTCCAGGTCCTGTGGCCATGCCTGGGTTGGGGGCTCCTCTGGCTGCCATGGCCATACCTTTATGGGAGCTCCTCCGGCTGCTATGACCATGCCTGTGTTGGAGGGCTCCTCTAGCTGCCATGGCTGTGCCTCTTTTGGGGGCTCCTCTGGCTGCTGTGGCCGTGCCTGGGTTGAGGGGCTCCTCCAGCTGCTGTGACCATGCCTCTGTAAGGGGCTCCTCTGGCTGCCGTGGCCATGCCTCGGTGGGGGATCCTGAGGGACCTGCCTCTTTTCTGTGCCTTTCGCTCCCTCTCATCTCAGGGTTCAGCTCTGGGCTTGAAGGGGAGCGACCCCAGCCCGAGTCATGGAAAAGAGGGTGGGAAAGGCAGGGAAGGTGGTGCGGATGGATTGTATTCAGACAGACTTTTCTAGCAGGGAAGAAGTCCAGTGTTAACTGGACCCAGTTCTGCTGAAACCAAATGCAGGAGTGTCTTTGAGGCCTGGTGTGCTGGGCGTGAGGAGCTGCTCCATGCAAGGGCCCCCCACAGTGCCAGTCGGCCTTATCCAGAGGAGGACAAACTTGGGGCGTCTTCATGAGGGGGTGCAGGGTAGATCAAGACCCCCTCCGAAGTCAGGTCCTCACACTGGCCACCCTGGGAGCAAGAATAGGCCGTCTCTCCAGGCATCATGGCCCAGGGCCTTGAGATAGTCCTGGAGGTGGAAGGTGTGTGATTGCAAGCTTCCTGCAGTGACCGTCCACTCCAGGTTTGGGCGGGAACGACGGGCAAACGCCCTGGCCGTGCTGAGCTCTTTGGGGCAGGCACTTAGGAGGCTGGGGTCATCCTAGATGCAGCCTCAAGCTCAGGAACTGCACCAGAGTTTGTTCAAGGGTGTACTAGTGTGCTCTTGCACTGCTATAAAGAAACACCTGAGACTGGATACTTTATAAAGAAGAGGCTTCATTGGCTCACGGTTCTGCAGGCTGTACAGGAAGCGTGGTGCTGGCGTCTGCTCAGCTTCCGGAGAGGCCTGGGGAAAGGGAAGTAGACACGTTTTATATGGCCAGAGCAGAGGAAGAGGGACAGGGAGGTGCCACTGACTACCGGGAGAACAGCCTGAGGGGATGGCACTAATCCATTCCCGAAGGATCTACCCTGTGACCTAATTAACTCCCACCAGGGTTCACCTCCAGCTTTGGGGACCACAGTTGGACATGAGACTTGGTGGGGACACAGATCCAAACCATAGCAAAGGGCAGGGCCTATGGGGAAGAGGGCTCCGAGGAGCCTGGTGGGTTTGGAAGAGAGGGAGTCTTAATCAGGGGTTCTGAGGCATTTAGACCAGGGCCAGCAAGCTTTTCTGGTAGCTAGTGAAGAGTCTTACCTTCGTGGGCCAAACACTCTCCACCAGCTGCTAACTCTACCGTAGGATCCTGAGGTCAGTGCAGTCCATCAGAGAGAACCAGCGGTGCCCTGTCCCACAGAGCTCACTCACAGGCCTGCTGGGAGTGGGCTTGGCCGGGTGGTACTCTGACCTACAGTCACTTGGGATTGTTTGAAAATATATTTTTAGGCTGGGCATGGTGCCTCACGCCTATAATCCGAGCACTTTGGGAGGCCACGATGGGTGGATCACAAGGTTAAGGAGTTCAAGACCAGCCTGGTCAACACAGTGAAACCCCATCTTTACTAAAAATACAAAAATTAGCTGGGTGTGGTAGAGAGGCTGAGGCAGGAGACTCTCTTGAACTGAGGAGTAGGAAATTGCAGTAGACGAGATCATGCTACTGTACTCCAGCCTGGGCAACACAGTGAGATTCCGTCTCAAGAAAAAAAAGAAAAAATATTTTAAAAAATCTATTCTAGGCTGGGCGCAGTGGCTCAAGCCTGTAATCCCAGCACTTTGGGAGGCTGAGGCGGGTGGATCACGAGGTCGAGAGATTGAGACCATCCTGGTCAACATGGTGAAACCCCGTCTCTACTAAAAATACAAAAAACTAGCTGGGTGTGGTGGCACGTGCCTGTAATCCCAGCTACTTAGGAGGCTGAGGCAGGAGAATTGCCTGAGCCTAGGAGGCGGAGGTTGCGGTGAGCCGAGATCGTGCCATTGCACTCCAGCCTGGGTAACAAGAGCGAAACTCCATCTCAAAAAAAAAAAAAAAAAAAAATCTATTCTAAATTTTAAATTGGCATCTTGGGTAGAATTCCACAGACAATTCTTGAGGCCTTTTTTTTTTTTTTTTTGAGACGGTGTTTCGCTCTTGTTACCCAGGCTGGAGTGCAATGGCGCGATCTCGGCTCACCGCAACCTCCGCCTCCTGGGTTCAGGCAATTCTCTTGTTGAGGCCATATCTTAACCACTTCCACAGGTTACTCTATTTGGTGGTTAACTCTGCTTGTTATGACTTGGTGAAGTTGAATAGCAGGTTATTCTCCTAATATGTTTTGTAGATAGAATTAGATTAATTTTATTGCCACCCTGTTCTGCTTATGGTGCATAACCATTCTTTTTTCAGGCTGAATAACTATAAAAAGTCTTGGCTGTACAAAGCGGGGTCTCTGCTTGTGATCGGACATCTCCTGGTGAATGCTGCCTACTCGGCCACCGCCCTGTATGTGTCCCATTTCAACTACCCGGGCGGCGTGGCGATGCAGAGGCTACACCAGCTGGTGCCCCCCCAGACAGGTTGGTGCTGGGGGCTCTGGCTGGGGACTGTTGTGGCTCTGACCAGGGGGATGGGATCTGACAGCAGGCGTGGTTTTCCTAGACGTCCTTCTGCACATTGACGTGGCAGCTGCCCAGACAGGTGTGTCTCGGTTTCTCCAAGTCAACAGCGCCTGGAGGTAGGACCCACACACAATATGACCCTCCTGGAGGCCACGTGAGGGCCCCTTGGCACCCGGGGTTGGGGGACGGGACAGTGCAGGGCAATGTGGACCCTGGACAGGACCACTGGCTCTCATCCTGCAGGTACGACAAGAGGGAGGACCTGCAGCCGGGGGCAGGCATGCTGGCATACACGCACATCCTCATGGAGGCGGCCCCTGACCTCCTGGCCCTCTACAGGGACACGCACCGGGTCCTGGCCAGTGTTGAAGGCACCACAGGTGTGAGTCTGAACCTGACCCAGCTGCCCCCCTTCAACGTCCACCTGCAGACAAAGCTGGTGCTTCTGGAGAGGCTCCCCCAGCCATCCTGAGGGGCACTGGGCAGCCCTCAGCAGCCACAGGCCCTCCCGGAGCTGCTGTCGCTGCCAGTTTCCGCACAGTTGTGATAATTCAGAGAAGCAAGTGAAAGCACTGTGCACATGGCTCCGACAGACACCAGAGCAGGTCCAGGGCCTCCTCTGTGGCCTCACCTGGGGCTGGCAGCACCAGAGAATGAGGGGCCCAGGTCTTGTTGGCACCCTGGGAGCTACTGCCCAGGGTGATGGTGGCCTGCTCAGGCCTTCCTGTGGATGGGCAGGGTGGGTGACACAGTTGTCTGGCATCCAGACCAAGTGCCATGCATGACTAATCGGGAGCAGCAGGCCCGCCCGGGCACCTGTCTGTGAGGCTACATGTGTCCTGGCCTCCCAGGGGGATCTGCATTTTGGCAGCACCCTGCACCTGCTGCCCGAGGGTCTCTAGGGGCATCTGAGACAGCACCCCATCTCGGGAGACCATGGTGGCCCCTGCCGCCCCCCATCCGCCACCGTCCCTGCAATTGGTGTATTCGCAGCATCCCATCTCCATCACAGATGAAATTTTAGGAGATAAACACGTTCAAAAAGGAATGAGATAAAAAGAATAAGGCAATAAAATGTTGATTGGAACCTTGATATTACAGAAAATGAGAATGGAAACTTTACTGTTTCCCGTGTGATAGCTTATGACACATTATTATTCCAGGTGCATGGTCAAGGGACAGTTTGGTGCTGTCAACTTCCCTGACCACGCATGTATAATGCACCAAAGTGCATGTGATGCTGCTGGGCACTGGAGACGGGGGACTGGGTGCTGATGCACACACGCTCATGTGCACACACACACTCATGCACACACCACACACCATGCACGTGCTCACATGCACACACACCATGCATACATGCCATGTGTGCACACACCATGCATATGCATCACACGTGCAAACACCATGCAGACACCACACACACAGCAACCATGCACATATACACACATGCACACAACACACACCATGCACACGTGTGCATAAGGACACTTTCTTCCTGAGCTCTTTTTGAGTGTGTGTGACTGTTGGCCCAGGTGCCCTGGCACTGCCTCTCCACCTGGTGCCTCCTGTTTTCCCCACTGCATCTGGTGAACAGCCGTGCAGACATTTCCTGACTCAACAGAGGCCAGATGGTGAGGCTGGAGAGCAGGCTTCTCAACCCCTGAATCCCACAGACGGCCCCCTCCTCCCCAGTTCGTCCACCTGTGTGTCTCAGGTATTTACGGGTTATCTGCACTCATGTCGCTGGGCGCATGTGGATTGCTTCCTGACTCCCGTGGTCTGTGAGTTGCTCCTGTCTTTAATGATTCTGGTGTTCAGAGATTTGCTGGTGGGAGCCCTGCCATGCTCCACCGGTACACTATGTGCTGTGCCCTCTCCTTTGAGCACCTCCTCATGACCAGGCATGGTGGAATGTCCTCTTGAGCCTCTGGCTCCGGCTGTTGCTCTGCAGAGCTTGGCCCCCTTTGGTAGGGAATGTGTTAGAGACCAGGATCTCAACGCAGGTGTGCTCAATGCCACTGGGTGCCTGGGCTTTAGGCCCTTTCTGTGGACAGGCTGGGAAGGACAGGGGTGTGTCGACGTGCAGACACACATGTACATATGTAATATGCGTGTACAGATCTGAAACAGCACAGCTGTGCCCACATCTTGGATTCCGTTTCGCCTTGCAGGGTTCTCCCTGCACCCCTGTCCCTCCATTCCCCACCTCCTCCGTCTCTACCCTAAGGACCGTGACCCCCATCAAGAGCAGTGTCCTCACACATCTGCTGGGAAGTCCAGTGCACGCCTGCTCAGGAGCTCCAGTGCTGCTTTGGCACAGGATTGCAAAAACAAACCCGCCATCAAGAGGTTGGGATTTGGGCGTAGTTTACTCCCTGCCCACAACCATGGGTGCCGTTGCTTGCTGCGCTGAGTTCCTTGGATTGGCTTCTCCACCAGCAGTGTGGTGGTGCCTTCGTTGGAAATAGAGCTGGGTTCACCCTTCCCACTGGCTTTCAGTCTTTGCCTCCCACCCCATGCCGCATCCTGTTGGGTTTGTAGAGCATCACCGTGCTTCTAGATGTCAAAACTCCTAAGGGCAGGTGCCGGGAGCCACTCCCTCTGGTACCTCCTCCCTGGTTTTTGGTAATGAGCATAATTGTCTTCTGATTTATCTCGTGTGTGTTTAATTTTATAAAGAGAAACTTATATACATGTATTCCCTTTTTTCTTAGACGTAGCTTTCTTTATATGCTCATTTGCACTTTGGCTTTTTGGTTTGGTTTTAGAGATAGGGTCTTGCTCTGTAAGCCAAGCTGGAGTACAATTGTGCAATCCTAGCTCACTACAGCCTCCATCTCCTGGGCTCAAGCCATCCTCCCACCTGAGCCTCCCAAGTAGCTGGGACTACAGGTGTGTGCCACCAAACCCAGCAGATTTTCTTTTTAGAGATGGGGTCTCGCTGTATTGCCCAGGATGGTCTTGAACACCAGGCTTCAAGCAGTCCTGCCTTGGCCTCCTTAAGTGCTGGGATGACAGGCATGAGCTCCCAGCCAGACACTGGTTTGTTCACGTAATAGTCGCTCCTGGAAATCGTGGTGTCACTTCTTGAGCTACTCTCCTCTGTGTGGGCAGTTCACTTATTTCCAGTATTTTATAAATTTAAATAATGCTGCCATGCATAACCGAGTCCCTTTGTATTTTCATTTGTTTGAGGCATATCTTCAGGGTGAATTCAGAGGTGGACAGTGCTGGGCCTCAGGGGTGACTGTACCTGGGTTGTGTGGGGTATCGTGACATTCCCTCCACAGGGTGGTACCATTTTGCAGTCCCACAGGGTGAATGGTGGTTCAGTGTAGTTTTGATCATTTTTCTTATGAGAGAAGTTGAACGTCTTTTCATAGGCTAATTTTGTGTTTTCTTTTGTTTTTTGTATTTTTTGTAGAGATGGGGTCTCACTGTATTGCCCGGGCTGGTTATGAACTCCTGAGCTCAAATAATTTGCCTGTCTTGGTCTTCCAAAGTGCTGGAATTACAGGTGTGAGCCACTGTGCCCGGCTAGGGTTAATTTTTTAATACGTTGTGAGGTATGGGTCATTTTTTTTTTCCTATGAATATCCAATTGTTGTAACACCATTTTATTGAAAATATTATCCTCAGTGGTGCATGCCTATAGTCCCAGCTACTAGGGAGGCTGAGGCAGGAGGATCCCTTGAGCCCAGGCAGTTGAGGCTGCAGTGAGCTGTGATTATACCACTGCACTCCAGCCTGGGTGACAGAGAGAGACCCTGTCTCTTAAGAAAAGAAATAGGGCCGGGTGCAGTGGCTCACACCTGTAATCCCAGCTCTTTAGGAGGCTGAGGTGGGTGGATCACAAGGTCAAGAGATCGAGACCATCCTGGTCAACATGGCGAAACCCCGTCTCTACTAAAAAGACAAAAAATTAGCTGGGCATGGTGGCGCATGCCTGTAATCCCAGCTACTCAGGAGGCTGAGGCAGGAGAATTCCCTGAACCCAAGAGGCGGAAGTTGACGCGCCATTGCACTCCAGCCTGGGTAACAAGAGCGAAACTCCGTCTCTAAATAAATAAATAAATAAATAAATAAATAAAAGATTGTTTTTTTCACCACTGAATTGCCTTTGCACTTTTCTCAAAAACCAATTCTCTCAGCCAGGCATGGTGGCTCACGCCTGTAATCCCAGCAATTTGGGAGACCAATGTGGGTGGATCACCTGAGGTCAGGAGTTCAAGACCAGCCTGGCCAACATGGTGAAACCCTGTCTCTACTAAAAATAGAAAAATGACTGCCAGGCACAGTGGCTCACACCTGTAATCCCAGCATTTTGGGAGGCCAAGGTGGGCAGATCACAAGGTCAGGAGATTGAGACTATCCTGGCTAACATGGTGAAACCCTGTCTCTACTAAAAATACAAAAAGTTAGCTGGGTGTGGTGGCATGCACCTGTAGTCCCAGCTACTGAGGAGCCTGAGGCAGGAGAATCACTTGAACCAGGGAGGCAGAGGTTGCAGTGAGCTGAGATCACACCACTGCACTCCAGCCTGGGAAACATAGCAAGACACCATCTCAGATATATATATATATATATATATATATATATATATATATATATATATATATATATGTATGTATGTATTTGTGTGTGTGTATGTATTTATATATATGTATGTATTTATATTTATATATGCAAAAGTTAGCTGGGCATAGTGGATAGTGGTGGGCACCTGTAATCCCAGCTACTTGGGAGGCTGAGGCAGGAGAATCACTTGAACCCAAGAAGCAGAGTTTGCAGTGAGCCGAGATCATGCCACTGCACTCCAGCCTGGGTGACAAGAGTAAAACTTCATCTCAAAAAATACCTGTATGATTCCAACTGTTTGACATTCTGGAAAAGGATTGCACTGGCCCACCTAGCCCTTCACAGCCATTGCCAACACCAGCCCATCCAGTGGGTCATCCCACCATTGCCATTGCCATTGCCCCCACCACACTGGCTGCCCAGGGGCCTACCTGCCTGTCCCACCACCATAACTACCAGCATCCAAGTAAGCCACTGGGAGGCCCCAAAATCAGCCCACCTAGACCTGCTAACACTGATGCCACTGTAGGCTGTCCTGGGGCCCAAGGCCAGGCATACTCAGCCCACTGCTGCCACCACTGAGGCCTGAAGACTGGCCTACCTGGATCTAAGTCCCCAGTAACACATTGCCACCGGGCATAATGGCTCATGCCTATGATCCTAGCACTTTGGGAGGCTAAGGAGGGCAGATTATCGGAGGTCAGGAGTTTGAGACCAGCCTGGCCAACATGGCAAAATCCCACCTCTACAAAAAATACAATTAGCCAGGTATGTTGGTGCACGCCTATGATCCCAGCTTCTTGGGAGGCTGAAGCAGAATTGCTTGAACCTGGGGGGTGGAGATTGCAGTGAGCCAAGATCATGCCACTGCACTCCAGGTTGGGCAACACAGCAAGACTCTGTCTCAACAAACAATAAAATGTTGCCACAGCCTCTACTAATTGCATCCTAAGCCACAGAAGAAATCACAGATACCACTGACATTGTTTACAGCTGAAGAAATCTTACAGGGACTATACTACTACATTCACCCAGAATAAAAGCCAAAGTGCCCTACCTGACCAGCACCATAGAAACACCTTCAGGAAAAAGTCCTTCTCTATGAAAGCAGATTCAAAAAATTGGAGGAAGTGACTGTTACACCAAATGAGCAGATATCAACATAAGGACAAAGGGAACATGAAAAAGCAAGGAAATGTGACACCTCCAAAGGAACACAGCAATTCTTCAGAAATCCACTGGGGTGCACCTATAGTCCCAGCTTCTCAGGAGGTGGAGGTGGGAAGATCGCCTGAGCCCAGGAGTTCAAGGTTGTATATAGTTCAAGTGAGCTATGATGGAACTGCTGCACTCCAGCCTCGGTGACAGAGTGAGATGCTGTCAGAAAGAAGAAGGGTAGGGAAGGGAGCTGTCAGAAAGAAAGGGGAAGGGGAAGGAAAGAGGAGAAGATGAAGGGGAGAAAGAAGGAGGGAAAGAAAGAAGAGGAAGGAAGAGAAATTCATGAAATCC